CGACAACAGAGACTGAGGGAGCTGCTGTGCAAGCCAGAAGAGGAGAGATGCCCTCCAGTGCGTGATGGGGGGTGGGAGTAGGGGGTCAGGGAGAGTCCTGCAGGGACTGTGAGGAAGGCGAAAGGACCACTCTTCTGGGTTTGATCGAATAGTTTTCCATGCTCCCTCCCCAAGCCAGGTATATCAGAATCACTTTACAGAACCATCTGTGATCCCGAGCCAGAGGACATGACTGGAAAAACACATCCTTTGGCAGCAGAACACTAGTCTCCACTTAGAATCATATGCCAGGGTTCCAGGTGGGAGGGGGGACTTTCTGGTCACCTAGTCCTCTCACTTCTTGTCAAATGACAGGCTGGGCTGGAAGAGGGCGGGGGTGGGGTACAGGGCTTATATCTCAGAGAATTTGAGGTGTGAAGGCCCTGGGAGAGTCTGGGAGGAGACTCAACAAAGTCCACAATACAGGTGCCAAGCCATCCTTGGTTCTCCCTCTGCGAGGCTGGGAGGGGGACAGCAGCAGAGGGGGTGAGGGGAGAAGGGCATGGAGCTGGTGCCGGGGTTCACCTGGACCAGCCATGGGGAGAGAGGCCTGGCTCCCCTCCTCCCCACCTGCCCCTTAGAGCCCCCCAGATCCGTCTTCCCTTTGGACTGACCAGCTCCAGGCCTTCCACAGCATTTTCCAGGTGTATCCGCCAGGTGCAGAAGACACCTATCACCAGCCTTGCTGGATCCAGGGGAATGACTGTAACCAATGGGAACTTCTGGTGACACCAAGGTACAGTGGAGGCAATGATATGACAGACCAGGGGCTTTAATGGCCCACAAATTCCTTTCTGTCCTCACATAAGGCCACTGCCTGGACCCCAGAGTTGGAACAGAGTGAGATTTCTGATAGAAGCAGTAGGGAAAATAGAGGGTAAATATTCAAGTGAGGTCAGTCACAGTAGTCACAATATTTCTGCCAAATTCTAAATTAAATTACATTTTATGTCACCTGATCAGTGTTCCCCTGGGGACACACATTATTTTACGGTAATCTGTTAAACTAGAAAATCTGGCCAAGGGAGGCAGAGGCTCCAGACAGGATTAAGAGGACAGTCTCAGGGTCAGGACAGTCTCAGGGCTGGAGTCCTGCCTCCCCCGCCTACTGCTGCATGTCCCTGAGACGGCTACCTAACCTCTCTGAACCTCGGTGTTCTCATCTGGACATGGTGCGACAGCAGCACTGAGCTCATAGGATTAGTGGAAGGATCACGCGTGATAATTTGTGTCACGTGCTTAAGACAGTACCTGGCACCTAGTAAACCTCAAAAAATGTCAGTTATTTAAAGAAAAAAAAGAAATTAAGACAGACATTGTTCCCAGTTATATATAAGGTCAGAACAAAAGGTACATGAGCATCTGGGGATTTTTCTCTATCAAGTATGGTTACAGAGGTTCTATGGGAGAACACCCAGCTCCTAAGTTATGGGAGAGGATTTGGTCCATCAGAAGAGCCGCCACGCAGTGGTTAAGAATCCACCTGCCAATGCAGGGGACACGGATTCAAGCCCTGGTCCGGGAAGATCCCGCCTGCGGCAGAGCAACTAAGCCCGTGCGCCACAATTACTGAGCCTGCGCTCTAGAGCGCACGAACCACAACTACTGAAGCCCGCGTGTCTAGAGCCTGTGCTCTGCAACAAAGAGAAGCCACCGCAATGAGAAGCCCGTGCACAGCAAAAAAGAGTAGCACCTGCTCATGGCAACTAGAGAAAGCCCGTGCGCAGCAACGAAGACCCAACGTAGCCCCACCCCCCCCAAAAAATATATATATATATGTATGTATGTATAAAAGAAGAGCCACCAGCACAGTCAAACTGCTTACAAAACCAGACAATTCTCTTCCGGGTTCTAATCACTTTCCCACTCTCACCCCCACGTCTCTCCTGGAGGACAGACTTCCCCGGCCAGATGTCAATCATCCCTTTCAGGGCACTGAAGAAGCACAACCAGAGTTGATTTATCACCCCTGGACAGCACTGTGGACCAGAAAGTTTTGAGCTCAGCCTCGGGAACAAGGGTGATGCTGAGAGTAACCCACTAACAAGAGCCGGAGTGTGGAGACCCGGCCACAGCAGCAGCCCGGCTACCTAGACCTGCCCGCTCACAGGCTCTCCTTCCGCATTCAATTCCATCCCCTGCATAATCCTCAATCTGTGTTCGTTTGGGAGGTTCACCCCTGTCAAGCCTCAGCACAGCAGGGACAGACATAAACAAGGAAGCACTGTCCCCCGCCCCCTCCACAGGTGCCCCATGCCCCTACCCTCGCCTTCCCCACAATCCCCCAGTTTCAGGAGCAGCCGCGCACTCACCCCCCACGCCCACCTACCCGTGAATGGGCTGCAGCCCTGAGCCCCTGCCGCTGCCTGCCGAGTGGAATCCGAGCCTGTTTACTCCGCAGCAGCGACACACTGGGGCCAGAAGCGCTCCAACTGCCCCAGCTTCCCGGCTTGTGCGCTAATGGGCTATGTTTGTAGGCTGATAATATGATCTGTAGGACATGTGCTGATAAACTATCTATCTATTCTATGTGACTCAGCCCAGCGTGAGACAAAACAGACTTGGGCGGGGAGGGCTTGTCACAGCGTAAACGATGTGCCGGCCAATCTGAGCCATATAACCCGGGATTATCTGCACCTCCCTGCAGGTGGCGGGGGCCTTTCAACATTGGACATCCTGAAGTGTGCTAAAAAAGAAACAGGTCAGAGAAGGCAAAGGGTGACATATTCTTAGCCCGCTAAGCTGGAAACCAAACTGAAAGCAGGATGAGAAAGCCATATGACCAAGGAAATGTAATTTTTTTTTCAGTATTTGAAGCAGATGTCCAAGGTCTTGATTTCATCCTTACATTTTTTTCTTAATTTTATTTAATTTAAGAAATTAATTTCCTAAAACATATGTGAGTTTAGGTTCTCTTTAGAGATTTTACTATTTTGGCAAATGTGTTTTCCTGATATCCAACAGTGGGACAATATGCCAGTTAATAAGCAGCAATCGTGCCTACACAACCCCTTGGTGCCCCTTCACGGCAACAGTTCCTCATACACCTTCACCCTAAAACAGAAAAACACCTTTTGTCTAATATATACATAATAACTCTAATTACAAAATAGTTTGATTTCTGAAGGACTATTTCCATAATGGAACATTTTCTGTTTGTTGACATTTTAATTAAATTACCATTTTTAATTGTATACTAAGTTAGTGGGGCTCAAATTAATCTTTGTGACTATATTGAATCATACCTCTAAAATGTTAGATGTGCTTTTTATTACTTAGGATAGAATTTTCATATTATGTTTCTCTTTTGATAAATAATGTAAGTTACCTAGTTAGTAATTAATGTTTAGTTTGCATTTTGTTTTCTTTTTTTTTCTGGTATCCTCAACTAAAGAATATAGATTGAAAAAGCAGTTTCAGTTCACATTCTACTTGAATACCATTTCAATTTATAAGAGAGAGAAACATTCAAAAGCTTAATCATATTTAAGTGGAAAAAATTTTTTCCCACAAATGCATTCAGAATACAATGGGATTGGGCTTCCCTGGTGGTGCAGTGGTTAAGAATCCACCTGCCAATGCAGGGAACACGGGTTCAAGCCCTGGTTCGGGAAGATCCCACATGCCTTGGAGCAACTAAGCCCGTGCGCCACAACTACTGAGCCTGCGCTCTAGAGCCCGCAAGCCACAACTACTGAGCCCGTAAGCCACAACTACTGAAGCCCACGCGCCTAGAGCCCATGCTCCGCAACAAGAGAAGCCAACGCAATGAGAAGCCCGCACACCGCAACAAAGAGTGGCCCCCGCTCACTGCAACTAGAGAAAGCCCGTGCGCAGCAACGAAGACCCAACACAGCCAAAAATAAATAAATAAAATTAAAATTAAAAAAAAATACAATGGGATGCTTTATGATGCTGATTGGAGGAACAGGCCATAGTCATCAGACTATAATGATGTGCACTCAACAGGATCGAGAAATTTAGCAAATGAAAATAACTTTCAGTTACATTTGAATTTCAGATAAGTAACAAATAATTTTTTAATATGTGTCTCAAATACTACATGAGTCATACTAAAAAATTATTTGTTGTTTCTCTGAAATTTAAATATAAGTGAGTGGCCTGTATTTTACACGGCAACCCTCCACCCAAACCACCCAGGACCTTACTAAAATGCTGAGTCGGCTTCAAGAGGCCAGAGAAGGGCTGAGAGTCTGTATCTCTAAGTTCCAGGTGATGTGGAAGTTGCTGGTCCAGAGACCATATTGTGAGTGGCAAGGATCTAGAACTAGCATAGTCTGGTGCAGTGATACCCAGGACTGGCTTCTCACTGGCATGGCCTGGATAGACCCCTCTGCCCCTCAGAAGTTCTGACTCAGTAAGTCTGGGACGGGGGTCCAGGGGTCGATATTTTCAGCATGCTCCACCGGAGTTGTTGTTTCTGATTCACAGGCAGGGATGTGAGCCAGGAAATATTTTAAAATACAAAAGGTACCATGTTCATGCAAGGAATTATTATTGCATTAAACTCTGTGCAGATTGTTGTATCGCTGGGCTAAGTGTGTCCAGAAAGACCTTCCAGTTTCTGAGCTCCCAAGGGGCAGCAGATAGGATTGTGCCCTGCAGTCTTCACATCCCAGTGTCCCCTTACAGCTGGAAGCCGCCCAACTCCTAACAGCCTTATTATTACCAACCCTGGCCACTTTCTTAGAGCTCAACACTTTTTTATGCAATTCAGCTCCAGCTGGGCTTGTAAACTCATGAAACGCAGTCCAAAGACCACAGCTCCAGCTTCTCCAGGGGGAGGTGTATATGTTTGCCTCACATCCAAAGGGGTTCCACACACAAGCTCACCCAGATACCCACAGGGGACTGAATGCTTTCTCACAGCCACTCTGAGTCTAGTGGCTGAGTTGGAACATTGAGTCACACGCACCACGAAGCTTTCTTAAAGTAAATACCTGGTTTCCAGAGTTTCCAGAGTGGGGTGCACTTCAAAGGGCCCAGGGTCATTTGCACACAGGAAATCTTCTCCCTGGAGCACCTTAGCCCATCTCTGACACAGCTTGGGTTTTGCACTTCGGCCTCCGTCATCCCTCCACTTGCATTTCATCCATTTCAAAACCATTAAGAGCTGTGAAGAATGCCTGAATGCAATCAGATACAAAATCCACTTAAGAAGCACTTTAAAATGAGATCCTCCAGGTCTTGTGAAACCAAGTGGGACCCCAGCTTGCCTTCCCAAGTCTCACTCCAAGAAGTCTGTCTGCCCATCCATTTGTCTGTCAGGGGCCACCGACCTTGACCTGGTCAGCAGGGATCAGGAAGTGACTGCTCCTTCCCCATCAACAGTTTTTTCATAACACTAAAATGGCACTTGGCATAGATTACCGGCCTCATATTATCTAGGGGGAAGGGGAAAGGGAGCAGAAGCCCAATCTTGGAGATCACTGTCTCTCCCAATATGCTCAGCACATATAGCTGGTCAGTAAATATTTGTTGAATTAGATTGGAAGGAAAAAAATTTTGGTGAGAATTCTAAACTATAGTCATGTCTAAAAGTCTAAATCAGAATCCCCTACCCTACCACGGTTTCCAGTAAGTACATCAGGACTATCTCATCTTGTATACGGTGAACTCTCTTGAATAAGGTGCCCAGAATTTGGCACTGCTTGGAGTACTTAGGATTGACTTTTTTTCCCCTTTACTGTTGCGGGGAGGGAGTATTCTTTGTTGTATTTCCTGGCTCAGGCTAGGAGGCACAATTTGTTTTCCTTTGGAGCTTCTCAAAGACCTAGTCCACGCCCGCCTCACCTTCCCTTTTAGAAAGTGAGGCTGAAATGTAATGCTGAGTCAGCCACAAATGTGGCAGATGGTATAAGATTTAGCCAAAAGGAAACCAGCACAGGCAAACACTGCACTAGAGGCTGGGGAAGCGAGATTTCCAGAAGACCAGGTTTCTGGATCTCCTAGTCTGAGGGATAAGGCATAGGGGGAGGGGCTGGTGAAAGACAAGAAAACCAGCAATTTACCACAGTGTTGACAAAATGAGGGAAACTCCAGTTCAAGTTCCCTCTAAGAACCACCTGCCAGTCCCTAGAAAAAGAAATACAAGCATCCAATAAACATAACAGTGCAAATGAAAACAACAACAGGATACTATCTTCACATATAGAATTGGCAAAAATTAAGATGCTTGCTGCAGCCAGCTGGTAAGGACCTGCAGGATCTGTGTGGAAGGGAGGAGAAGGGAGGGACAGGACACCGGTGCTGCCTTCTTGGAAAATAATTTGGAAACGTCCCCCCTTTAACCAAGCAGTTCCAGTGCCAGAAGTTTATCGGCTAGATATATTCCCAAGCAATCACCAGGATATACATATAAGGGAGTTCACTGCAGAACACAGAAACACACCAAGTGATTCCTGATAAGACAGTTTATGATACGTCTACATAGAAATTCATATGATACATTCCCCACCCCCTGCACACACATACACAAATGAAGTCCCCTCTTAAGCCCTTCTCTGTCCCTCTTACCCAATTTCTGTAACAGTATAGCTCTAAAATGGCTCGTTTGAGCAGTCTTCCCTACTGAGTTTGAAGATTTTTGAGAGCAAGAATCTATTCTTCTAAACCCCACACAGAGGTCTGTAGCAAATACAGAATGGGTTTCCAGTGGCTGTTTGTTAAATGGTGAAAACAGAAAGCCATATACCTGATGAACGGGCGAGGGCTCCACTTCTGACAGTGTTACTTGAGTTTTATCAGAAGCTGTTGGGCGCTGAGCTTGGTGGGATAAGAGGCCTCGCATTCCTCAGCTGGAGAAATTCCCCGGCCTGGCTTGCCGCTCTTCCCCATCTTCTGGCCTGAGGGGAAAATGACAGAAGTAAGACACAACGTGCCCCTAGGAATCCTATGATAAAAGTAGGTTTGACCTTAAAACCTCCTCATTGTGCTGCAGAAATGGCTGCTCTGTTTATTAACTATTCAGTTGGGGTTTAATTCTAAATGGTCTCGACCACTGAAATGTTCGAATTGGCTTTTTAAAACTATCCTACCTCCAAATGTGTTTTCTTCCTTGAATTTGAGACAGACACTGGAAGTTTCTCTTTTGATTACGATGTTTTTTTTGTTTCGACTATTCTTGGTTGGTTGGATGGTTTTAAGGCAAATTCTTACTTGTATATTTTAAACACACACAATTCTGTCTCTCTTGCCCCAGTGTTTAACACAGGACAGCTCAGAGTTGTCGAAGCCAAGTTCGTGTGCCCAATGCATGTTTCGGTCTGTTTGGCCCCTTTGTGCATTGGCACACAAACTTGGGTTTGACAACAAGAGGGCGATACTGAACCGTCCTGAGACCAAGACCATTTGTTTGTCAGTGCCCTCCATAAGGGAGGAGGTGGCCCCCATTCCAGGGTCTCCCATCCCCAGGCCCTCCATGGGTCTCTAACACAGTACTCACTGGCCAGATTCTGGGTGGCATCTGTCAGTCAGCAGTGACCGAGCAGCAGAGGTGTCCAGTGGCCGTCCTAGGGTCACCAATCAACTCCCCACCCAGACACAGCCACACAACTACAATCACTGATTATCGTCCTTTATCCCCCCCACTACGCAGTGGGGTCACCTCTCACCACTGTGTCCCCAGAGCCTAGCCCCTGACCGGTAACGTAGTAGACTCATTAAATACTTGTTGAATGAACAGTCTGCGGGCCACCAGCCCGATAGCGAATGTCTGGCCACTCAGGCACCTCTGCCCTCCCCTCCCCCTCATTTCTTCCTAACTCAAAACGTTGCCCAGATTCTGTCTAGTGCATACACTTGACTTCCTTTGTCCTCTGTACCCGTGGGGAATGCAGATCTTTTCAGTGAGTTCCAGTCTTTGGGTACACAGAGATTCTGTGTGGGCTGCAGGCTGAACACACCAGCCATGCAGACTCGGGGCCTTGGTTCCCTCCTGAAAGTGGGGAGGTGATTTCCAGGGATCCTAATTCAAGTCCTAAAAGTTCCACAAGAGCCCCTTTAAATAAGGAAGTGTCAATGCAGGGGTGGTGTCCTGCTGCCAGTTCTGCCACAGACCTGCCCAGCCTCTGTGGAAAAAGACATTTAAGTCCACAGATGGGATTCTTTGGTTCATCCATAAAGTGAGACTAATATTGCCAATGCTGTTATCTACTTAGCACACCGGATTGTTGAGGACTGTGAAGAACAAAGTGTACTAAGAATGTACTGTACTTTCTTTACGCCTCCGTGCAACTCCTGGGGTTGGGTGATTAGCTTTTTCCTCTGCACTGGCCTTCCCCATATCCAGCTTCTAGAGCTTCAGGCCGAGTTCCCCATTCTCTCTGAATCTCAGCGTGACACTTGAAGCTTTTTAACAAGTTGAAAGGCCACACAGGGAGTTGAAGCACAGCAGGAATTAGTGAGCTGCTGTGGAGTAAAAATGCTACCAGCCATAAGTAAATGGGCTGCATCGCATCCCATCATTGCTTTGATGGGGACCTACCTCCCACTAAAAGTAATTTAAAGTTTAATTCTCCCAAGATGCAGGTGTAGAAGCAAATAACAGCTCTTCTTTAGCACCTGTGGACCTGTTGCCTTCACAGAGGTAGACACAGATGCTGAAACGGCTTCAGATGCTGCTGCCAATTCATTTTGCCACGGTGTAAATCCAATGGACAGAGATGGGTGACAAGAGAACTGAAACAGGAGGGACGGGGGCAGGGCACAACCTTTCAAGAATAACACAGTGGTTGAGAAAAACTGGAGACGACAAACACTGGTTAGATAAAGACGCAGATGTAGAGAATGGACTTGAGGTCACGGGGAGGGGGAAGGGTAAGCTGGGACGAAGTGAGAGAGTAGCATGGACTCTCTATATACACTACCAAATATAAAATAAATAGCTAGTGGGAAGCAGCTGCAGAGCACAGAGAGATCAGCTCAGTGCTTGGTGACCACCTAGAGGGGTGGGAGGGAGATGCAAGAGGGAGGGGATATGGGGATATATGTATATGTATAGCCGATTCACTTTGTTATACAGCAGAAACTAACACAACATTGTAGAGCAATTATAATCCAATAAAGATGTTAAAAAAAAAACAAAAAAAAAAACTGGTTAGAGCTGACCAGGCCCAAGATGGCGGAAGATTTGACTGCCGGTAGACCTTGAGCTCATTATGCACTCATTGTAATATATTAGCATATGCTAAATAACACACCCACAGGCGCCATGACAGTTCCAAGGCTGACCATAACAGGCCAAAATGTGGGCGGTGGCCCAACTCCTGGAAATCCCTGCCTCTTCCCCAAGAGTCTCTTTGCTCAAGGGTCCAGTACTGAAAGACAAGTGTTGGGTAAAAGGAAAGCTAGCCTTATTGAGGAAGCCAGCAACCCTGGGGAGATGGTAGACTCATGTCACAAAGACCCAAACCCCCAGGTTTTGCTTGGGAAACGAGGGAAAAGGGTTACGTGCAGGGGAGGGGTCAGTCTTCTATTTTCAGAGATGATTGTCTCCATCACGCGGTTCCAAGTAGCCGTCAGGTCTCGATTGTGGTTGGAACGTTATCTGACCCATAAATCTTTGGTCACTTAGTCCTGGAGAATAAGGAACAAGGGTGAAGTCTATAGAAAAACGAATCCTCAATCTCGATACGCATCAAGCAGCAAGCAGTTTCTCCATCAGCAGCAAGCTAAGCTAAGCTAATGGTAGAAGTCAGGCACAGTAATAATTAAGAAATATATTGGGGGGAATTCCCTGTCAGTCCAGTGGTTAGGACTACATGGTTCCACTGTCGGGGTCATGGGTTTGATCCCTGGTCGGGGAACTAAGATCCCACCAGCCTTGTGGTGTGGCAAAAAAAGGAGAAAGAAATAGATTTGGAACAATGCTGAGTTGCTGACAGTCCCTAGTTACAGTCTCATTTCCTCAGTTACAATCCCCACTGCCGGATTTTCCTTCCATGTCTAGGGAAAAGGGGTGAAGACGTCTTCTGTAACTTCAAGCTGAGCATGGGCAACGAAGGATTCTTAGAGTGGAAGGATCTGACATGCTGTAAGAAATATTCTTTGGTTCCCTTACGTGCCTGTTGAGATTCCAAAAGAGGCATCTCATTACTAACGTTTTAAGTAACTGTTTTGCAAAGAGCTGGCGTGCCAATTATGATCCCTTGACTAGAAGATAAAATCCCAACTTAAGGATTCCTTCAAGCATTGACCTAATCCCAGAGGGAATCCAAGAAAATAGGTTCATAAACCAATCCCATCCACCTTGAAATAGGGGAGTATGGTGGGCTAAGATCTGTTGGAGCCAGGTTGTGTCACCGTCATCTTGATTGTTTTAAGCACAGTTAATCTTCAACTCCAGGGTCAGTTTTTTCCCATTCTCTTGAGGCCAGTTCTTGGAATTGTGCTAGCCATAGATTCAGTGCTGCTCAAGACAGAGCAGCTCATGTCATGGCTACAGTCTGGTCATCATGCAGTTAGCTTTTTCCCTCTGGTGGCAGTTATAGTATCTGCAACACAGCTCAGGAATGTGCATCAGACACTGTGTCCTTCAGGGAGGAACTGAAGATTCTGTGACTCTATTGTCCTAATCATTAACTGCTTGAGCCTGCTCCTTTGTGACTCAACAGGAGACAAGGGACTTGGAGGGGCTTTTTGAACCTGGGAGGGCCCCTCAGGGTCCTGCTTGGTTTCTAGAGGCCATGGGCTAAGTGACATGCCTCTCCAGCAGCAGCGTCTGGGGCTTCAGGGAACCACCAAATAAATGCTTACAGGGTAACAGGGGACACAGCTGAATCTGGGGTTAATTCCCGTGTTGTTGGGGGCAGGGCGGAGAAGGGATGGAAGAGGCCACACTGTGGGCGCTGGGAGGCTGTTAAAATGCAGTGAAACCCAGTGGCAAGGCTGAAATGGCCTCCCAGGCCGGACTGCCATGTTTCCAGAACATTTTCCTAGAGCAGGCCTGGCACCCCGATGCGCAGGCCACCAAGAAGGCGCAGGCCCTGGACGCGCACTCGCACCTCGCTGCCCGCCTCCCCTCGCCCCACACCCCACCCCTGGCGCCGGCTCCGCTTCCTTCCAGTCTCGCTTGCAAATTCAGGTGCGCCTGGTATTTACACCCACTCACTCCTGCGAGGGCAGGAACCCCCTCCTGACCCTGAACTTCTGTTTGGACTACCTGCTTCCTCGCCTTTCCCTCCCGCCCGCTGAGACACACCCTTCTCGACCACCTGAGTCTGCCTGGGGCGGAGCACGGGCTCAACACACCTTTCTTGGAAAACCAAAGATGAAAGCAAATTTCGGGAAATAAAACTTTTCAATAAAATATCAAACGCCTTGGGAGACCCATACATGGTGTTCAGGTTTTCCCGATTACAGCAATACTTTCCATCACTCCTCCAACTTGGAATCACCACCCCGTTAAGAGTAATTGGTTTGCTTTTTTTTTTTCTTCTTTCTTTCAAAGAGTAAATCTGATCTTTTTAACTCGAAACTAATGATAGAGACATTAGGGCTAATTAACAACAGTTTTACAAGAATGGCCTTTTCCATTCTCTCTTTGTTTGGCTTCACCGCCTCTCACCTCCACCCCCAAGTGTTTCAGCATTGTAATGCGCACGGGTCTCCGCCTCCCCGCCCACCGGAGGGCAGTCCCCGCCACCCAGGGGCTTGTGGCTGAGGAAGGAGAATCTCCCTGAAGGTTTTATTCAAAGCATTTATTAGGACCGACCTGTCTGAGGAACCCCCCAGTTTCTTCCGGCATCCTGGCTCCTGCTTCTGAGACCTTCTGGGGAGACCATATTTCTCATCTGGGATATTTTTCTCCTTAAATGCCCATTTTCGCTTCAAGAAATTAACGTTTTCCTTTGGGTGTTTTGGCAATGACTGTGAATTAAAGCCAGCCTAATATCTTTTTCTTTCTAAATTGTTAGGAGCCATGGACCAAAGAAAGACGGAGCGCTTTTCTTACAGGTATGAACCAATCTTGAGTGTGAGCTTTTGATTACTAGTTTCCCAGCTTAGGAAACATGTCCTACACCTCTCTGTTGTTTGATTTCCTCTCGTTCAAACCTTAAAGAGCTGCCAACAGTGCTGCTGTTTTTCCAAAAGACCTGGAACTTAAAGTTGCATCCACCTTTGCTATTGGCTTTTAACATCTTCAAACAGGTCACTGGCTCTGCCTCTGAAATGACTAGTGTTTTCCTACTCTCTTGTTAGAAAAGGTCAATATTACAACGAAATTAAGAATCTGCTTCTGAGAAGGTTAAAGGTATAGGCAGGTTTTCAATATTTGGGAACCGTTAAGAATAATGGGAATTTTTTTTAAACCTTGAACATCTTTTAAATGACTGGTTTAAATGAAATAGTTTGTAAAATGGAATTCATAAATTACATAGAATGTCATCCAGGCATTTAAAATTCCTATATGAAAACTATATGCAGGAGAAAAAAACATGTGAAATAGAAGATAAAAGATTTATACCTACTTAAAATTATGTGCATATGAGGACACAGCCTAAGAAGAATAACACGTATTGGAAAGAGTTGGAGATTAGGTGGACTTTATTTTCATCATCTTTCTTTGTGTTGTTATGTGAATTAGTCAGCCATTTTAAAAGAAAGGAAAAAGGAAAAAAAGGAAAGTGGTGCTCTACAATTTCTCCCTAGTGGCCTGTAGTCCTGTGATGAGAAGACCCAGGTGTTAATTCAAAGGGATTTTATCTGCTTTGTTTTGCTAATGGAGGTCTGATTTCCTCTTCCTAGTATGATTTTGATCCTGGCCTTTTCCAGAGCATTTGAACTGGGATTAGTCACTGGTAAGAGACTTTGCTTTTTTGATCACTAGCAATTTTCACGTGGCCTGAAATACAGACGCAAGGAGTTAATTTTGTCATTCAGGATTGGGCCACTGTGAACTTGCCCGTCCATCACAGGGAGACCTGGCCTTCAGAGACGACGGCCTTCAGTCCCGGGAGGAGCCTGCAATTCGTCATCGGCCTTCCCAGTTTGTACCATCCATGGGAATCCAGAACAGTAAGACGTACCTGCCTTAGATCTACAGTGCGGTATTGCTATCCTGGTCCTTCACATGTTTCCTGAGTATCTTTTAGACCCTCTTTCACCTAAGACAGTGGGCACCTGATTCTGGAGCTGGGCAGATGAATAGTTGGACTGGTTTTGATTCTGGGGGCCAGACAGGCATTGTGTACTTCACCTCCGCAGAATGCAGTTTCCCTCACCTGATCCCACTTCATGCTGGGGACTCCAGGTACCACCACTGGCTTATGCATGAAAAAAGATTTCTCTGATCAAAAGCACAGGTAGCCAAAGGAACACTAAAAAGGAGAGTCTTATTCTGTTAGGTTTACAATGTTTATAGACATCTGTCAACACTTGGAGAGATTAAGCCCTTACTGCCATATTAACCTTGGCTAACGGGAACTCAGTTTTTCAATCCTTCCGCCCTCTCAGCCACTTTTCTTACATTTCAGGTAAGGAGCTAAACAGAACCTGCTGTCTGAATGGG